TTATGGTAAGTGTCTTTCAGTGAATTTTCTTTGAAAATAACTATTTTCTAAGAAAATGCACTGAAAAAAACACTTACCATAAATTATCGCACAGACTGACCCGGTCGAAAATGGGGCGGCGCTAATGACGTCAATTTGAGTGCACTTAGAATTATCAGATATAGCTAGATGCATAATTATTTGCATAATTTACTCGATACTGTTATAATAACAAGAAATTCTCCCCTTTTCTTTATGATAACGAAGAGTTCCTTACCATTAACAACTGTCAGAATACTCTTGAGCAAAAGTAAATTTCCTTTTTGGGTTCGATAGGTTAAATGGGAGTGGAACTACCTGGTTATACGTTCCTTGCAAGAAATAATGAGAAAATTAATGATTATGCGACTTATTAATCCCCATTAAAACGACTAAGGACATATGTACAATATTCTTTAAAGTCTGTGAGGTAATTTTATTCATAAATGCACGCGGGGGGAGGGGGGGGTAGAAGGATCAATTTCTACAGGAGGCGCAGTTGCAAAAAGTTTAAGAACCGCTGCACTAGCGTATGATAGTGTGGTTCACAATCTCAATGGGACCGATTCAGGAATTCTTATACAAGGTCAGTATGTATGGAAAATGCCTTTTTCTATCTTAGACACACACTCACATGTGTAATACATATATATATTGTATTTATATAAATATATATCTATATATACATATATATATATATATATATATATATATATATATATATATATATATATATGTATATATACTGTGTATATATTTATACATATACATAAATATTTGTGTGTATATATATACTATATAAATACATATATATATATTTAGACATAAGTGTATATATATATGAATACGCTTATATGTATATATATACATATATACATATACATATGTGATATATATATATATACATATACATTTATAAAACCCTAACCCCTTCCCCTCCGCCCTCCCGTCCCCCCGCACGGCGCGAGCCCCACCTTCGTGTTCTTCACCGGCGAAGGACCACGGTTTTCCAGGATGAACTCGTGCTGCATCTGGGGCCCGAGGCGCTCGACCGACACAGGGATGTCCTGGGCCCTCGCCTCCTCGATCTCGTTCATGGTCGAAGACTGGTTGACTTTGACGGATATCGTGTCTGTCTCTGAGGCGCTGAGGCGGGTGGGGAAAAGGAGATTTGTTAAGGGTGTGTGGTTCTTTATACTTGGTGGAGGTGTTGTGAGTCGCCAGTCTGGTGGGGATGGGAGTTTATATTTTCTCTTGTTTATTTTCTTTTGTTTTCTTTTCTTTTTTCTCTCTCTTTCTCCTTTTTTTCTCTCTCTCTTCCTCCTTCTTTCTCCCTATCTCTTTCTTTCTCTCTTTCTCTTTCTTTTTATTACTTTCTTTCTCTCTTTCTTTCTTCTTTTTCTTTCTTTCTTTCTCTTCTTCTCTTTCTATCGCTCCCTCTCTCCCTCTCTCCCTCTCTCTCCATACTCATACATTATCTTCCCCCTCTCCTCTCTCACTCTCACTCTGTCTAATTAGCCGTCACTACCCAGAAAGATAAGTAAATAAACAAAGAGAAATATACAAACAGATAAATGAATATGCATATATAAATAATAATAACAAACAGATAAATAAATAAACAAATATCCTCAGTACACAGAACACCCCCCTCCACCCCCACCCTCCTTAAAATACATACATACCAAGAGAGAGAAACAAAGTTAAAATAAAAGCGGTTTCCACGCCCCTTACCTTCCAGTGTGGAGCACGGAATCCAGCGCCGTAGGAATAGCGATGCTGTAGCCATTGTTCAAGCTGCTGGTGCTGTCAACCCCGTCGCTCGTGGCTGTCAAATTCACACTTAAGGTGGAGCGTTCGAGTAAGTTCATCAGGGACTCAGGGTCGTGGGTGAAAACCAGTGTGAAGTTTACCTTTGAGGAAGACGGGTGAGAGTGTGAGGTTTGGGTGATGGATGGGAAGGAGGGAGAGGGAAAGGGAGAGGAGGGTGAGGGAGGGAGGGAGGGAGGCAGAAGAGGGAGAGTTAGGGAGAGAAAGACAGTCAAAAAGAATTCCAGAGGTAAGGGTATCGACAGATAAATAGACAGACAGAGAGAGAGAGAGAGAGAAAGTGAAAGAGAGAAAAGGAGAAACAAACTAAAAAACAAAATCCAAGCAAATTAACACCCAGACTTACCAACCAACCCCCCACCCACCCACCCCCAAAAACGAAATAATAAAAACGAAACAAACCAAACGCGCATTTCTCAACATCCACACACAGCCGAACCCACCTCATCATCCACGTCGATGGTCCTAAACGTACACAGGAGCGACGTAGGATTCTGGACGCTGATCAGATTTTGGTAGCGGCAGTCAGGGGGCCGAACCCCTTGCCCCCTCGCCGACAGGTACTTCAAGGGCGTCGGGTGCTGGATGCGGATCTTAACCGCGTGGGCTGACTGGTTCCTCACCCTCAGCTGGATACTCACGTCCACTTTATCTTTGCCGACTATAAGGGTTTCACTGAGGAGGGAGGAGGTTGGATATGAAAGGCAAAGGGAGAAGAAAGAACTTTTTAAAAATATATAAGTTCAAAAGAAATGTAGATAAGATTATAAAAGGCTACACGAAAGGGGAAAAAAAAAGAAAATTAGCATTATTATGATCGGCATCACAACCAACAACGTTTTACTCACGCCGATCCTCCAAGGGTCAACTCAGGCTTGGAAAAACACGTCGCATCGCTCTTACAGGTGAACACAACGGAGGCACTGAAGTTGGTAGGGCTCAGGGCATTCAGAACAGGCGGCACCACGTCCTCACGCCCTTCTGACTCACTCGGAGGAAGGAGATATACCGATAATGAAGCGCGGAGGGCCTGGTTGGTGACAGATTGGTTGGACTGAAAAAAAAATAATAACATTTCTTCATATTGTGGTTTGCTGTTCATGTTTAAAGGTGTGGAGATGTGGTGTTTATATACTGAAAAAAAATCTTCATATTGTGGATTGATGTCCATGTTTAAAGGTGTGGGGATGTGGTGTTTATAGACTGAAAAAAAAATAAAAAAATCGTCTTATTGTGGTGTGATGTTCATGTTTAAAGGTGTGGGGATGTGATGTTTATAGACTGAAAAAAAAAACATTTCTTGATATTGTGGTTTGATGTTCATGTTTAAAGGTGTGGGGATGTGCTGTTTATAGACTGAAAAAAAAACATTTCTTTATTTTGTGGTTTGATGTTTATGCTTAAAGGTGTGGGGGTGTGGTGTTTATAGACTAAAAAAAAATAAAAAATAAAATAACATTTCTTCAAATTGTGGTTTGATGTTCATGTTTAAAGGTGTGGGGATGTGGTGTTTATAGACTGCTGTTGTAGTGGTGTATCTTAAATTTTATGTTACATTACAGGCTTGTAGATACCATGACATAGGTGTGTATGCATGTGTTGCATAAATATACGTAATGTGGGGGTGGGAGCGCCTTATAAGTGGCTGTCCTTCTTGGCACTGTGCCAGAGTGCCCCATGAAGTGAACAGACTGACAAACAGGCAGGAGGATATAGACAGAAAGAGAGAGAAAGAAAGGAAGAGAAAATAAAAGCGAAAGAGATGAAGTGGGAGAGTAAATTGGGAGCAGAGAGAATAAAACAGAACACGAGGCAGATATAACAGATATGAGAGATAACGAGATAAAGAGAGAAATAGACGAAGCCAGAGAGCGACAAAGAATGAGACAGAGAGAGAGAGAGAGAGAGAGATTGAAAGAGAGAAAGAAAGGAAGAAAGAAAAAAGAAAGAAAGAGAGAGAGAGAGAAAGAGATAGACACAGACACTGAGAACAGAAAGATAGTAGAGAGAGAGACAGAGTCAAACACAGACACAGACACAGCCACAAACAGACACAGACACAGCCACAAACAGACACAGAGAGTAAGAGCTATACACAGCCAGAATAATAGACAGTATATCAAACAAGAGTGAAATTTCCAAATAAAAATGACCCTCACTTACTTTTGAAAAAACTATGACCTTCCAAGCTAAAGGCTTCCCTCCATATGGGACATCTGATGTGCGTTCATACCTAAAATAATAATGATGATAATAATAATAATGATGATAATGGTGATAACAATAATGGTGATGATAATAATGATAACAGTGATAATAATAAGTGACAATAATAATAATAATAATAGTAATAGTAATAATAATAATGATAACAATAATAATAGTAATAATAATAATAATAATATTAATAATAGTGGAAACACATAAAATAAAAAATATGATAAAATACTAATGACATAAGACAGAATAAAACAAAACCAAAAATAGAAACAAATTAATGAAAAAAAAATAATGCAAAGTGAGTGAAAAAATATAATGAAACAGAAAAAAAAATAAATGACATAAACACAATATATTAAGATAAATTAACTAAAAAAGAAATGAAGGAAAGACAAATTTGAAAAAAAGCGAACATGAAAGCGTAATATACCTGCTATCAGTCTTCCACAAAATCTACAAAAATGAAAAATATTCTCCATAAAATTTCTAATACAAACCAAATACGACCCAAATTTTATAACAGTATTAGTATTATTAGTAATATAATAACAAAACCGAATGATATTCTCCTTAAAAAATATCCTACTACGAGCCAATTTAAGTCAGAACATAAACACAAATGTAATTCAATTTACATTTATCTTCTTATAATGCATAATAATTACTTTTATCTAAAACCTGTTATCTTTACCTGTGTTCATTATTACTGTAAAACACGTGGTGCCGAGCGGTGCCTTGGCCGTCCAGAGTGAGGCGGAAGAGCATGGCTGACGAAGGGGAGGAAGGAAACGGGAATAAGACGTGAATAAGGGAGAATAAGAGAGGAAGACAGAGACAGAACATGATTATGAACATATGTGCATATGCGTAATACATGGACACAAACTCCCGCTCCCTCCCGCTCCCTTTCCCTCTCTCTCACCCTCACCCTCTCCCTCTCCCTTATTTTCACTCTTTTCCTCACCCTCACCCTCTCCCTCTCCCTCACCCTCTCCCTCACCCTCTCCCTCCTCCCTCTCCCTCACCCTCTCCCTCCTCCCTCTTTCTGACACTTTCCCTCTCCCCCTCTCTCTCCCTACCCCTCTTCCCTCTCCCCCTCTTCCACAGCCTCTCCCTCTCCTCCTCCTCCCTCTCCCCCTCCTCCCTCTCCCTCTCTCACACCCCATCCCCCTCTTTCCCTTTCCCTCTCCCTCTCCCCCCTCTCTCTCTCACCCTATCCCTCTTCCTCTCCCTCCCCCTCTCTCCCTGACCCTCCCTTTCCCTCACCTTTACCCTTTCCCTCACCCTCTCCCTCCCCATCTTTCCTCTCCCTCTCCCTTTCCCCTCTTTCCCTCTCCCTCTCCCTTTCCCCTCTCCCCTTTCCCATGTACCCTCTCCCCTCTCCCCTCTCCTTCTACCTCTCCCCCCTCCCCCTCCCCCTCTCCCTCCCCCTCTCCCTCCCCCTGTCCCTCCCCCGCTCCCCTCACCCCTTCCCCCTCTTTCCCTCTCCCCTTCCCCCTCTCCCCCTCTCCCCTTCTCCCCTCTTTCCCTTCCCCCTCCCCCTGTCCCCTCTCCCCCTCTCCCCTCTCCCCTTCTCCCCTCTTTCCCTTCCCCCTCCCCCTGTCCCCTCTCCCCCTCTCCCCTTCTCCCCTTCCCCCCTCTTTCCCTTCCCCCTCCCCCTGTCCCCTCTCCCATCTCCCCTCTCCCCTCTCCCTACCGAGATTCCCCAGCGACGTCTTGGCCTCATAAGCCATCTGGACGCTGAGCGAGACGCACGTGCCCCTCTTCGACTTATAGCCTGCCACTTCGTCCCCGCATTGCTTGTCCTCGATGAAGATGGAGTCCGACTCGAAGCTGAAGTTCCCGACGAGGGTGACGACCGGGGCGGATCTGAGAGAGAGGAGGAGGAGGGTGAGAGAGGGAGAGTGAAGGGGAGGGTAAGAGAGGGAGGGTGAGAGAGGGGGGAGGGGGAGGTGAGAGAAGGGGAGGGGGAGGTGAGAGAGGGAGAGAGGGTGAGAGGGAGAGAGGGAGGGGGAGGTGAGAGAAGGGGAGAGGGAGGTGAGAGAGGGAGAGTGAAGGGGAGGGGGAGGTGAAAGGGTGAGAGAGGGAGGGTGAGGGGTAGGGAGGGTGAGAGAGGGGGGAGGGGGAGGTGAGAGAGGGAGGGAGGGAGGGGGAGGTGAGAGAAGGGGAGGGGGAGGCGGAGAGGGAGGTGAGAGAGGGAGAGTGAAGGGGAGGGTGAGAGAGGGAGGGTGAGGAGAGAGGGGGGAGGGGGAGGGGGAGGTGAGAGAAGGAGAGAGGTTGAGAGGGAGGGAGGGAGGGGGAGGTGAGAGAGGGAGGGAGGGAGGGTGAGAGAGGGAGAGGGAGGTGAGAGAGGGGGAGGGGAAGGCGGAGAGGGAGAGTGAAGGGGAGGGTGAGAGAGGGAGGGTGAGGCGAGAGTGGGAGAGAGGGAGGGGGGTAAGAGAGAAGGGTGGGGGGTAAAAACGAGAGGGAGGAGGAGGGGAGGAAGAAAAGGAAGAGGAGGAAGGAGAAAAAGATAGACAGAGAGAGAGAATAACATTAACTGTAACAATAAGAAGAAGAAGAAGAATAGATATATAATTAATATCAATATCATTAGTTTAGCATTATCATTATTATTACTATTGCTATTAATATCATTATTATCATCATAAACGTTATTATTATTATCATTATCATGATCATTATCATAATTAACGATATAGCAATAATAATGATGATAAAAATTTAAAATAATGACAACAGTATTTTTTTTTTTTTTTTTTTTTTTAAGATTCGCGAGGCAGAGCCTCGCCCGGGCTATGCCTATTTGGGGAGCCCGGTATGACAACAGTAAGAATGATAACAATTATATTACTACTACTACTACTGCTGCTATTATTAGCAGCAGTAGTAATAGTAATAATAATGATAATCTTAATAATAATAATAATAATAACAAAACGAAGAATAATTAATAGTTAATGATTATTATGATAGTAATAATGATAAGAAGAATATTATAATGTACTTTATCATTATCATCATTATCATTATTAATATTGTTGCTTTGTTGTTGTTGTTGTCATTACTATCATTATTATCACGTTCACTATCGATATCAATCTTCTTTCATTGTCACGATCATTATTATCATTAACATATAATCATATTCTTTTATCAAAAGGCATGACACACAGAGATACACAGAAAAACAAACGTTCATATAAATATTATGTATATATATATATATATATATATATATATATATATATATATATATATATATATATATATATATATATATATATATATATATATATATATATATATATATATATATATATGCATATACATGTACATACATGAATACACATACATACAGGAATACATATACACACACATTTTTTTACATAAAAAAGAGAAAGAAAAAACGACAAAAACATCAACAAAACAGACAAACTAATCAAACATAACGTCACATTGTTCGTTAACCTGACAAGCACAGCTGACTCGGCCCCCAGAGCGCCGATCGCCATGTCCGTATAGCCGTTTTCGTCCATGTCTACGCCGCCGTCCAAGCTGAAGCCAAAGCCTCTCAAGTTACCTGGGAAATCGGACGCCCGGAGTACCTGAAAGAAGGAAACCCAAAGTTAAAAAAAAAAAAAATCGTTTATATATATATTTTTTAATTCCGATATCGCCAACCTATGTTGTTGTTTTTTTCTTTTTCTTTTCTTTTTTTTTTACATTATATAGCTTTTAATTTTCTTTAACGTGAACTACAGACAAACGAAAGAATATTCAATCAGTTTTATTCCAATTATTTTTATTTTTTTTACGTTAACCAAATGCCTTAACTATTCTTTTTATGTTGTAAACTATTTCTTTATCATTTGACAACCTAAAATACCTCTTGAAAACAGTGCTATTAATCCATATCATCACCCCATTAAATATACTCTTTACCATTTAACTGTTAATCTTTATCATCACCCCAATGAACGTACTCTTCACCTATTAACTATTAACTATATCACCCCCATTACATACACCTTTTACCCATTAACTATCACCCCTTTAAATATAGCTTTTACAAATTCATTATCAATCCAATCCATCCTCATTAGATAAGCACTATGTATCAGTCTATATCATCACCCCCATTAAATGCACCATTTACCCATTAACTATCCTCTTTTGGTTACCCGCCCCCCTCCCCTTTTCCTGTTATGGGAGAGAACCCCCATTAAATCCTGCCTTTACCCATTAACAATTCCCCTTCACTTACTTCTCCCTCAGAAGACCCCATTAAATCGCTTATTCTCACCCTTAGAAGACCTCATTAAAACGCCCCCCCCCCCCCCCGCGCGCCTTAGAAAACCCCATAAAAAATACCGTTTAACCATTAACTATTCCCCTTCGACCCCCCCCCCCCTCACACATACCTTACCTGAGAAGGCTGAAGGAGAAGGCCGCTTGAACCACCGTTGAATATATACACAGCACCTCTATCATCTTCATAGGGGGCGCCCACAGCTAGGTCTGAAATGAGACTTTGTGGTAGAGAGGGAGAGGGAGAGGGAGAAGAAAGGAAAGGGAGGGAGGGAGAGGGAGAAGAAGAGGGAGGAAGGGAGGGAGGGAGAGAGGGAGAGAGGGTGGGAGAGGGAGAGGGAGGAAGGGAGGGAGAAAGATGATGGGAGAGGGAGAGAGAGAAAAAGAAAGAGGTCAGTGAGTCGTTAGAAGAGGAAGAGAAAATAAAAACGAATCAAAGTCGGAAATTGACAATACGAACAACAGGGGGGGAAATAATTTAATAAATTGAGAGAAAAAAAAAAAATCCTGACCATCGTATCCATCGGCGTTGACGTCCCCAAGCGAGGTCAGAGCCAGGCCGAATCTCGCCCATGCAATCTGACCTTTGATCTCTTGCTCTTTCTGCGACGCACTCTGGAACGGGATCAAAACTCATTGTTTGTCGCTGTTATTTCTGCGTTATTCCTGTTATTATTATCATGGCCGTTAAGATTATTAGGGTCACCTTCCTCATCACTCCTTCACCATAAATAATTACCGTTATCAGCATCATCCTTATCATCACCCCCATTAAATGCACCATTTACCCATTAACTATCACTCTTACACATCATACCTTTTACGCATTAACTGTCCTGACTTCCATTATCAACATCATTAATATCATTACCATTGCCAATAGAAGTTAGTTGAGGTAAAAGTATAAAATAGCCATAGTAGTAGTAATATTGGTTTTTATAATAAAGTGTGCGTATCGCAGGAGGCTTTATCATTGTGCCTCTAACTACCTATCTATCCTGCTGCTACCTATCTATCGACGTATTTCATAGACTATCAGTGGGTTAGAACTATCAGCCCAGTCTACAGGAAAGAAAGAAAACTTGCTACTTTTTAACACCTGTATTATCTATCTATCGACGTTACATATAACAGTTATAGCCACCTATCTATCGATGCTACTAAGCTATATATCATGTTACTACATATCTATTGATGCTACCAATTTATCAGTTATACATCATGCTACTACATATCTATCTATCTATCTACCAATTTATCAGTGTAATCTGCATATTAATTGTTAGTTATAATCAAATGCTCTACTAAAATTGGATCTCAATAGATTTTTTATAACCTCTTACTGTTGCCTGACTTTCTCTAACAAAAATGGGATACTAGTTCCACTGTTTCATAATGTACTTTATATTTTTATTTATGTTTTTTGTTGTTATTTTATTTTTATATTTTCTTCAAATTACTATTTTTCTCATTTCCTGTCTTGTTAATTTTCTTTATTGTTGTATGATATTTTCTTTATCATAAAAGAGGTATTTTCTCGTTATTTTCCGTAATACTATTACGCTGTATTCCTTATTGCTATTTCATTATTGCTACTTTCCTTTTTGCTATTCTCGTTATT